ATCAGTGTATAATCAGTGTATAACCAGTACCTCAAGTATCAGTGTATAATCAGTGTATAATAAAGCCTCAGGTATCAGTATCAGTGTATAATCAGTGCCTCAGGTATCAGTGTATAATCAGTGTATAACCAGTACCTCAAGTATCAGTGTATAATCAGTGTATAATAAAGCCTCAGGTATCCGTATCAGTGTATAATCAGTGCCTCAGGTATCAGTGTATAATCAGTGTATAACCAGTACCTCAAGTATCAGTGTATAATCAGTGTATAATAAAGCCTCAGGTATCCGTATCAGTGTATAATCAGTGCCTCAGGTATCTGTCTATATTAGGTGTATACTCAGTGTCATATATATCAGAGTACAATCAGTGGTTCAGGTACCAGTGTATAATCATCAATTAATCACTGGCTCAGGTACTAGTGTATAATCAGTGTATACTCAGTGCATAATCAGTGTCACGGATATCAGAGTATAATCCGTGCATACTCAGTGCCACAGATATCAGTGTATAACCAGTGGTTCATGTATCAGTGTATAATCAGTGTGTTTCAGGTATCAGTGTATAATCAGTGTGTTTCAGGTATCAGTGTATAATCAGTGTGTTTCAGGTATCACAGCTTGCATTGGTGTATGCTCAGTATTAATGCAGCATTGCTGTGCATTACAGAGAAAAAATATGGATGGATGATTCTACAGGCCTTATTTTGGGAGGGAAAATGTGGGCAATTCCTAAATGGGGGTGGGGGCAGTTCAGACAACACTGTTCAGAGCAATTTGGTGCCTGACAAGGACTTCAGGAAGGAAGCAGAAGGAGGAGAGCACTTTGATGTGATACTGTGGGGAGATCCCCCCCCCCGCCCCCAGAGCAACGGATAGACCATCTGCACAAGGGACAATATCGGGAATCCGGACATTCCAAGACCCCCGCGGACTCCATCCCCTTAAAGTCGGCATTGACGAGGTGGCCAGGCGGGAGGATGTATCTGGGGTGTGCTTCCTCTCCGTGGGATGTAGGTCTGAGCCGGGCTTCCGTTGCCGTGGCGATTGAATGCATCTCGAGGGAAGGGAACTGGAACAGTGAGACCTTTCATTTCAGGGAGCTAGGGGCACACTGGCCGATTAAGGTGCTTGCTCAGTAAACAAATAAACCAGCCAGCTGTGTAGACGGGCCACATTAATCACGGGCAAGCCCCTTCTGAAAGAGGAGTAAGCTAATTGCCTTAGATAGACGTGGAGCAGGCCTGCCCCCTTTTACAAGGGAATGTGCCGGCACTTTCTCTGGGGGGGAGGACTGAGAGAGGCAAAAAATAACAGGGCCTGAAGGTGAGGTGCACAGGGACCTCATTAAGAGGTCTACCTGGCTCGCTGCGGCTTTGCGGACCCCTGCTGGATTTGGAGAGACAGTGTTCTGACTATCTGCCCCCCCCCCCCATCTCCCATACACATACCTCCCCATGCATGTCGCTCAATACCTGACACACAGCTAGGGGTGCTGGAATGCCCGCTGTGGTGTCCGTTCCACGACTCTCTAAGTGCCAGATCTGTAAGCGTCCCACTGAGTGCAGGAGAGAGCTACACCAAGCCGGGACCTTGCTGGAAGTTACTCAGGGATAACTTGGAGCTATGGATGTACAGCAGTAGGGGGGGCTTATCACTAAGTAACTGACCTAACCTGTCTGGGCTGGACTGGGCCCTAACACTCGACTCTCCCTAACTGCAGAGTCTCTCCCTAGTGCAGTGTTTCTCGACCTGGTCCTCTCGACTCTCCCTAACTGCAGAGTCTCTCCCCAGTGCAGTGTTTCTCAACCTGGTCCTCTCGACTCTCCCTAACTGCAGAGTCTCTCCCCAGTGCAGTGTTTCTCGACCTGGTCCTCTCGACTCTCCCTAACTGCAGAGTCTCTCCCCAGTGCAGTGTTTCTCAACCTGGTCCTCTCGACTCTCCCTAACTGCAGAGTTTCTCCCTAGTGCAGTGTTCCTCAACCTGGTCTTTAGGGACCCCCAGAGACCCCATGCCCTAGCACACCCAGCACAGAAGTGTGGATTGTCTTGGGGTTTCCGAGGACTGGGTGGAGAAACACTGCCCTAGAAGATCTCATGATTGACAAAGAAAGGTGAAACAGTGAGTCCGCACACCTTGAAATTTCAACGCCCCTTAACCTCCCACAGACTGTCCCTAAGAAAACAGCCCAGGACCCGTTTGATGGCTTGATGAGTCTCATTGGGGGGGGGGGGGGCAGACTTGCCTGTTGCACAATGGTGGTTAACTCCAGACACAACTGCACAATGTTGTTCTTCAACAGCGAGTACTCCGTCACGCTGACGAACGGAGACCTGGAGGAGACAGGAGGAACGGGCGTCCGTCAGACGACCCCTGGCTCGAGATCTTAGCTTGAGGCAGTCGCAGCCAACATCTCGAGTCAGTGATCAAGGGTTTAATTGCATGAATATGTCAAAAAATGCATTTTCTACAGTATGGTTAAGTTTGAGTTTGTAGTGCTGTTCATTAAACCAAAAGGTTGGACCCTGGGCACATAACCAGCATCTGGCTGGTATTAATAAAGCTGGCAGAATGAGTCAAAAGGACAGTAGACTAACAGGACGAGGAAGGAGATTAACCTTTCCATTTCATCAGGCATACAGACTGTGCAATTAGCAAGGAGAGTAATTCTGCGTATCGCGGATACCAAATGACTTGATGGACTACGGACGAATGGCAGAGCAGACGGACAGACGCTGACCTGTCCAACCAGGCCAGCAGGTTCTTGGCTGCCCCGATAAGGTCCACCACTGAGGTGAGGAAGTCGTTGGGTAGGCGTCGTGAGGCTCTGCCATCGTAGTGGCCCCCGCGTCGTCGGCCAGTGATGAAGTTCTGCAGGTTCTTGGCGGACGAGTTCAGCTTGTGGGACAGCGTTCGCAGGTTCTCCGTCTCCAGCCCATAGTTCTGGGACGGGAGGCCCCCGGTGGAAGAGAGAGGGAGACATGTGTTTAGGCGAGACCGAAACCCAAGCCCTGGGCGTCACATAGCAAATCTGGTTCCATTTCACCCTAATCTTTCACAACTTAATTAAGTGAGCTATTGCATCTCATTAGTCAGGAGAGTCACTGATAAAAGCAATCAAGGATTAATGAGATCTGGAGAGACAAGCAAGGTCCCTGGGACATGGGCTTGGGTCTCACCTCGACTTATGACACACGAGGGACACACTTCAGATACTCTAACCAAATGCTACCAAGATGCACTAACCACCTGGAGGCATCTTGCACAGCCCACGAGTTTGCATGTGTTTACGTGATCGAGCCGCACCATGGTCACCAGCGTCCAGACAGCAGGTGGGATACGGTGGGGAGCGGCACTGAAAGTGCAGCAAAACGTTGCCTGGAGTAAACATGAGCCAAACAGGGCAATAGGGGTACGAAGGGCACCATAGCAACGTGCTTTCGCTTGCTTCAGTCATCCATCCATTACCTTGCAATCTAACCACCCACCCCCCCCCCTCAGGTCTGACATCCCCCAGAGGAAGAACCACTCAGGCTTGAAGAAGGCAGAGCTCCAAAAGTTTCCTCTGACTGCCAAGGAGAGGGAACTGTCAGGTGCAGGAGACAATCTGAGCCCATCTTACTAGAGTGCACCTGATGCCTTGCAGCCCAAGCTCAATCCAGCTGGACCAGGCCAACCCCCAAACCCACCACCATCCCCATCACCCAACCTCCAGCACTTTCTGGATGGTTTGGCTGGTGCAGGAGCACATGGCATCCACACACTACACTTCCCAAATGCATCAGTGCTGAGGGAGCCTGGCTTTATCGACGAGGCCTTTTGCGTCTGTGCCGCTCTGAGTGCCATAATTCTCCACAGAAGACGAATTGCAGAATTTGTTGCTGGTTCGACTGCTTGCATATCTGAACTGTGGTATGTAAAGGAGGGTCTCTAAGAGATAGAAAATTCAGAGACAGCTTTAACCTCACCGCAAGCAGGTACATCCTACAGGTCCTGATGCATCTGGTAGCCTGCAGGTCACCACATGCATGCTCTAGATAAAAAGCCCCCCCCTGTTACAGCTCCTCCATGTTGCTCCCCCTACCCTTGAAGTTTCCCGAAGGCTTTAGAAACCACCACTGAGTGGTGGATTTCTCCACCAAGCCCTCCCATTGGCTGCTAGGAAGTGACACGTGGCCCCCAGGCTGGCTGGACAGGTCACCTGCACACAAACGTGGCAGCGTAATCGTACTAATCGACAGCCCTGCATTGAAAGCGGGTGACGACGAACTGTTCAGATTCACCACCACCCCCCCCCCCCCCCCCCCCCCCCCCCCCCCCCCCCCCCCCCCCCCCCCCCCCCCCGCCAGTCTCGTCAGTTGCCATGGCAACCACAGGCTGAGCTGCCACTAATTGCACCCAGTCTGATGTTTTTATCGTTTTCCTTACGATTTGTTTTTTTCTTCTTCCCCGTACTCGCGCTCTATTCATAATGGGACGGCACGGCCTTGCCTACTAGAAATGGGCCAAGATTTCGGCAAGAACTTAATAGGAAACCCAATTTAGGGGCAGGTCACCGGAGACGCAGAGCGTGTCATCGTCGTGGAGTGGATTTCTGCTGGGAGAGGTCCCCAGCACACCCCCCATACCCGTCTCCCCCAAAATTCCCGGGGGTTTGCTTGCCGTCCCCGTTCTGGTCCTGCACAGATGGTCCTCGCTCCTATGCTCCTATGGAGAGACCTCCCATCTTGCCTCATGTGGCGCTGCAATAATGAGACCTATCTGGTCCAGTGGCTCCCCCCGCAGCCAAACCGTGGTGGGGCGGGGGGAGAGAGACAGTGCTTGGGGAGGCAGACCTCTCTCGGGGTGCGCCTGTGGAGCAGACAAGTGTGACGGTAACAATTTCACAACCGACAGCTCCCCCCCATGGTGTCTGGGAGCAGATCAACAGTCTGAAAAGGCCACCTGACCTGCCAAAAACCCCTGGAGTCCACAAGGCTCACCTGAAACCCCCCCCCCCCCCAAACCACCACCACCAGGCTGCAAATGAAGGGGAGTCTCAAGCATAAAAAGGTGTATGACAGAGACTCCGGCTACCTGTAAGTCCTGATACCGGCCCGGCTAACGGGGATCTGTGGAGCAGACAGGTTGAATTATGCGGGCCAGAGAGACCAAAAGAGCGGCACCGTCTCTCTCTGGTTGTTACCAGGCTCCCCGGCCCCAGGACCAGCGGTCCACTCGGAGCACATTTGCATTCGCCTGCCACTTCTCTGATGGCTCTCTATAGTTCCCAGTGGCACCGGGCGTGATACCTGGTGGATTCTTCCCAGACTCACCTTGGCACAGCCATTCCTTGTGCCTTCACCCTCTCTTGACGCCAACCCCCAACCCCCCTCAACTGTCACCCCAATGACTCCATGAGACACAATGCAGCCACGAGATCCCATTCTGCCGGACGACTCACAAACATGCTCAGCATAAAGGTGACTCACTCAAGGAGATTTGCTGAGCATGAAGGAGATTCGACCCAACACACACACACCCACACACGCACATGTAGGGTAAACATATCCTTATGGGGACCACTAATTAATTTCAATGGGAAAAATGCTAACGCTAACTATGACAACCTTAACCCCCACCCTGCCCTAACCATAACCATAAGTAACCTAACAAAATACAAGAGTTTTTGCAGGAAACTGGTCCCCATAAGGGAAAAAAAACGGATATTAATCACGTTATGGGGACATTATGTCCCCATAAGGATAGGTAAACCCGCTCGCACACACACACACACACACACACACACAAACACACACAGGTTTGTAATTATATCTTTGTGGGGACTCTCCATTCATTTCTATGGGGAAAACTCTAATCTCAACATGATGACCTTAACCCCTACCCAGCCCTAACCCTGACCATAAGTAACCAAATAAAATATGAGACTTGTAGCATTTTTTTGTTTTTTGATTGCATTCACAGATCTTTGTGGGGACCCGAAAAATGGTTCCCACAACATGAAAATGCCAGGTTTTCATTACATTGTGGGGGACATGCGGTAATATAAACTGAGTCCACACATGGGTCTTAACCTTTCCTAACAACATGTTCATGAGTCGATACATCCTGCTGCTGGTCTCCCCAAGTCGCCAGGACGCCTCTGAGGTGCAAACGTAAGGTCTGGCCATGCAGCACTGTCTGTGCACCGGCATCCTGAAAGCTCAGAACGTGCTATACATCTGAACGTAGCATAAAGCGGCTTTTGCAAAAGTACAGCTCTCCTCTCCCACCTCCGCTACTCAGACTCAGACCTTATCTGATCTGCTTGGTGTCCCTGATCACAAGCAGCTGGGTCCCCAAATTGGTGACAGCGGTGACAAATGACTGAAGCATAATCAAGGATTTATGCATCTTGACACTGACAGGTGTGTTTGTATACAGAACATCTTTATAAGTCATTCAGTGATGAAACTTTTTAAATGTGTCCCATGAGGATAAAACAGACATCTATACCTTAATTATGCACATATTATACAGAACATATATTTGCAATTAAAATCAACTAAATATATATATATATCTGTATTGCAAATGATCATATAATGCTTATGATTTACTTCGTTATATATTAATAACACAACTCCAGATTCATCATTTGGGTCCCATTAGACTTTTATACAAATGAGTACTTACAAACACTTACTTTAACATATTATCTTAAATACTGTAATTATTGAATCACACGGAATAGAGAAACTACCCATAATTACATGAGACATCTGCAGGATTATATGTTAGAGGTACTGTTATTCCACTTTTGGGACCTAATTGAGTTATGCAGGACTGCAATGAAGGGCATTTTTTAGCAGAAGATCGGTGAGGAGGTATTTAATTACTTTATTCATTAAAGGAGTTTGATATTGTCTATCACTGAAGACGAAGGTGGTGCATAAAAACCTCCAACCGGATACTGTAGCACGGGTCCAAGGGCAGTGCAGTGGGGGAGGTAAACCACTCCAATCAACTCCAAACCCCCTCCATCCAAATCTCAGCAGCCCTTTACACCATGACCACTACAAACACAAACACCTTTTACAGATGTCGTTTTTGCAGCTTTCGGAGACAAACCGATGCATTTACAGTGCCAGTAAAATTAACAACAGACACTTTAATAATCTTAACCTGGGGGGGGGGAGATTCACAGCATGTTCACAGCAGAGGTTCATGTTCAGTACTGTCCCCCCCCCCAGCCCTGCTGGAAGCAGTGACCCAAATCCAGGTCCTTAACTACGCTGATGCCTACTTCATTGCACCCGCTCCCCCACCCCCCCAATTTCCACAAACAGCTGCTCCGGAAGCTTCGGTCAAGAGTCCATCTCAGATCTCAGTGCAGTCAGATGGGCAGAAAAAATTCCCGATTGTTTATTTGGCTGCCATGGACACGGAAAAGCGGTCGGAATTACAGTCTCATAGGCTGAGCTTCAATGAACTGAACTGTATTGTAATTTGTTTTTGATTACATTTTTAATCATGTTGATGGGAGAGTGGGAAGGAGATGCGGGTAAGACCTCATCTGACATGAGTACAGGCTGGAAATCAGCTGAAGTGGCAGGTGATAAAGGCGGAGGTCGGGGACAAGGTTCAGATTAAAGCTGCTAGTGGATGGACTTCAAATTCCACAGTCTGCCAGTTTTAAAGTACTGGGAACTCTGGGAGTGAAGGGTATTAAGTATTATGTGGGGCTCTGAAATCGCTCATACAGTTAGGCGCACAACACAATCAATCATGGATTGAGAAAGACATACAATCCAGTCAATGGTGGACTCAGATATCCTGGAAAAAATGCTGTTGTTGCTGGATTCAGTTGTCCACAGATACAATGCAATCACACATGGATTCAGATATCCAGGGATAAAATGAAATCACACAGATTCAGACATCAGATACAATGTAATCATACACGGATTCAGGTATTCACAGATACAATGCAATCACGTGTGGATTCAAATATCCAGGGATACAATGCAATCATGCATAAATTCAGATATCCTAGTATACAATGCAATCACGCATGGAATTAGATATCTTGGGATACAATCCAATCATGCATGAATTTGGCTATCCTGCCATACAATGCAATCACATATGGATTCAGAGATCAGATCCATTACAATAATATATAAATTCAGATATTCACAGATACAATGCTGTCATGCTTGAATTCAGACATCCTGGAATACAATGTAATCAAACATGGATTCAGATATCAGACACAATGCGAACATACATGGATTCAGATAATTACAGATGCAGCGGAATCACGCATGAATTCAGATATCCAGGGATACAATGCAATCACTCGAGGATTCAGATATCACACATGACTGAGATATATCAGGCATGCAATGAATGACATCATTGATCAGTTCAGCTATCCAGAGATACAATGCAATCCCTCATGGACTCATACCTTATGCATACAGAACGGTGAGAAATATAATTTGATATGTTAGACATACGATACAATATAATTTACGGACTCATACGTTACGCATACAAGGTGTCCGTATATTTGTTTTACTTCCCAAAAAGGCCTTATGGTATAGACAACACGATAATCATTTTAATTTTTAAAATTTTGTATGCCATTGTGAGAAACAGGTCAGCAGGCTGTGCTATGCTCAGCACACTGGCAACCCCCCCCCCCCAAAAAAAAATGGAAGGTACATTACACTATTAGTCTTTTCACAGATGACATCATCAAGGCACAAGGAATTAAGCTCATTTTAATAATTTAATTGTGCCACCCTGTGCGACTATTTATTCACTGACTATTTTCAGCACTGACCTGAAATATACATCCTCACAGACATTTATAAAAATTCACTTGTTGTCGGTGTAACCCAAAAAAAAAAACCCACTACGTCATTACATCACGTACCAGGAACTTGTCGGTTATTATTTCAAATGCTGCATCGCTTCGAATATGGACACGGAACAATGGAGGGACTACAAGGGCAGTTTTGTTTGATGATGTGAGATTATTTCACTTCTTAAAGGTGTCACGAGGTAAGGGGGACTTTAGGGGGCCTATGGTCAGCACCCCACATCCGGAATGGAACTGCAGGTAGCGCAGTGGTTTAAGAATATGGATCCCAAGGTTTATCGTTATAAATCACAGGAGGGCAATACCGCGGGGATGCACCGGTGCAATCAATGGCTGCATAAATAGGTAAAAATCTTACCTTTTATAAAATGCATTAAGTGATCTTCAATAAAAGCAAGACAAGAAAATGTCCCATGTCTACCTCAGTTATTACTAATGGATATAAAAAAAAAACGACATTGACTAGCACAGTTAACTATAAGAAGCCAACAGCTATTTCCAAGCATATCAGCTTCTGACCCCAATTCATGTTCAGCCTAAGCCAGGAAGGGTACAGCACATGCTGCACAGAGGACAGTGTATGAGTCCACAATGTTAACCCCTGAGCCTTCTACTCAGAAATGTTTTTTTTTTCTTTATTAGGACAGCAGATCTTCCATTGTATAAATGGATTGGTGTAGACATAGCCAATAGCTGTTGGCTAACACAATGTTCACCTGCGTTTGACTGGTCTGCAGCACTGCCAAGTCAATGAGAAAGAATCCTGTGATAGGTACCCCAACAAGCCCTTCAGTGATTTGCCGTAGCCTTGTAGGTACCCCAACAAGCCCTTCAGTGATTTGCCGTAGCCTTGTACATACCCCAACAAGCTCTGCACTGATTTGCCATAACCATGTATTCAGCAGGTGCTTTCAGTGTGGAAACGCATCATGCCTCCTGTCGGGATTCCTGTGACTGCCACATTCATTTTTGACGATTTTTTACAAGGGAGGGGGTGTGTTTAACTGGTCAGAATGAGCGAAAATAACAGTTTATTAGTGGCAAGCCAGTTTAGTAAGATGAAAAAGGGCGGTTAGAATTTATAAGTCAGAAGGAGACCGTATGGCTAAGTGGGACAAATGGCGTAATGAAGGAGCGTGAAATGCGAAGAAATGAGGGAGCAAGCGAGAAGTATGAAGTGTGGAGGAGTTAGAGAGAGACAGTAAGAAAATCAGTATAAAGAGTCGGGGAAAGATAGTGAGGTCATCTTCACACTGCCCCTTCCTGATGAGTGTTGTGTGATACTTCATAGCCCCTCCCTTCATGCAGCAACAAAAAACAAGTCTTTGCATTTAAATGTCATGCATTATGTCCAAAGCCTAATAAATGTGATAATGGGGCACAGTAAATCCAGCGGGCAATTTCCTCTCCGAAGGTAGGCTTGACCGTCAATCGTATCCTCGGGGTAAATTTACAAGTGAGGTTGACTGTAAGGAAACAACAACATATCTTAAGGGCACAGACACAAAACAGAAACACGGACTAGTGTGGACACCAAGGTGAAAGACACGCATATGGGACCCAACACCACCACGTCTCTCGACCTTCCTCTTCATCAAAATGGGAAACAGGAAGCCTGCTCTTTCCTAGGCAGCCCATCGCAAGTCCTTTACGTGTCATCAACCTCCTACCAATTTCATTGGTTTGCTTTAATCACTTTGATGCTGGTAAGCTTGGAGGTTCACCCACATCTTGTTGAACCTAGTTGTCGACCAAAACAGACTGCAGCTTGGTTAAGTTTGCACGTGTGTTAACCTCTTTGTAGGGGCAGTAAACCAGTGACTTCAACATAAGAACATAAAAACATAAGAACTATACAAACGAGAGGAGGCCATTCGGCCCATCGAGCTTGCTTGGGGAGAACTTAACTAATAGCTCAGAGTTGTTAAAATCTTATCTAGCTCTGATTTAAAGGAACCCAAGGATTCAGCTTGCACTACGTTATCAGGAAGACTATTCCATACTCTGACTACACGCTGTGTAAAGAAGTGCTTCCTTAAATCCAGTTTGAAATGTTCTCCCGCTAATTTCCACCTATGGCCACGAGTTCTTGTATTTGAACTAATGCTGAAGTAACTATTCGGTTGAACAGCATCCAAACCTCTTAGAATCTTATAGACCTGGATCATGTCCCCCCTCAGTCTCCTTTGCTTGAGGCTGAACAGATTTAGCTCAACTAACATGTCAAGAGTCACAAGGCACTTAGCAGACTCAGCAAGAAATATCCACCGTTCAAGATGGCAAGGATTCCAGGAGGACAGAGTTGACACCGGGACACTGATGTGAGCACTCACCAATGCACACAGTAGGTCCACGGCCTCCAAGATGAGCTCCTGGTGCCCAATCCTGGTGACGCCCAACTCCTCAAGTTCCTGGTGTGTGATGTGCAGGAGCTGCTCTCCGTTGATCTTCTCCCGCTCAAAGTTCTTGATGTACTGCTGTAGGCAGTCGTCCAGGCCTGTGGGAATTGGAGAACGTTTAGCCCAAGTGCGACGACTCACTGGGGGTGGTTTACGTGCTACTTTGCTTAACAAGATCATTAGGTAGGACTCAAGTATCTGATTCACAGTTTCGCATACCTCTGTTTTACAGCCCCCCCCTCGATACGCCCCTCTGCCACATGTACACATAACTTTAATTAGCATGTCTTGAGTAAAGTTCTCAGGGTCTCATCTTTTAGGAATGCACAAGGGTGGACTTAGAAGCTGCATTCACAGGATGCTCATATGGGTAACACATCATACCACATTCGGATTGCATCGCAGCTGTTTATTTAAGTCATCTTGACTGCTAACGACTGCTGTTAGGCCTAATAGATCATCGCATCTGATTCGCTAAATTGCCTTCCGACGTAGTCGCTTAATAAAGGAGAAAAATACATATTTTAAGCAATGGAAGGAATTAAATTAGCACGCCGATCTGTCATCAAGTCGATTTGTCAAAAGACACCGTCTGGTGCTGCCGCTGACACCAGTGAGCCATTTTCGGAATTGCTGACTTCTTAATTGTTATACGAAAAGGTGCGACCAGCGTGTCGTTAATCATGGCGGATCACGCAGGATAGCGACAATGGGATGAAATTGTGTTCTGGAGTTATACAAGGCAGATAGTGGCCTATCCTGCTGAAGGTTATTGGGGGGGGGGAGTGAGATGGGGTACAGTGTGGAGGGGTGGAGGCGCGGGAAAATAAATTTCCAAGCTCGCAATACCACTCCAAGGCCAGGGGGCCCATAGAAACACCCCGACCTGACGTCTTATTTTGGTCGTGATGCAGGAATGCCGATCTTGTGCTTGAGCATATTGTGCAAGCACAATGAGCTGCAATTTCCTCCCCAAATGCCCCTTTGTTAAATTACAGCTATTTTTCTGAGAAATAGGAAGCATCCTCTCCCCCCCCACCCAGGACCATATTTTGTATACAAATGAGCTGGTGTTTATCCGGTGGGGAATCTGTTTGAATAATATTGTTAGAGATGTATTCTAAGAGCTGACTACTTCTGTAACTAGGACAAAATTCTTCCATTTACCGTCTGCGGACTGGCACCATGGAGGTGGCGCGGAGGATCAGTCAGCGGACCTGTAGCTGCACGCTTCGAGGCTTACGGTTTGATGCTCCCCTGAGAGAGCGTGGATGTTCTCCGCATGCCAGCACAGGGTTTCTCCCGCAGCCCAGAAACACACGACTGGCTGAATCGCTGTCTCTAAATCGCCCAGAGATGGTCTGGCCTCCCATTAAGGATGTACCCCACCTTGTGCCCATAGCTTCCTGGGATATTCGGACAATCCTGTTCTGGATAAGCGGTCAGGGAAGATAGATGGACGGTCCAGCACAGGAGAGCATGCTTCCTGTCACCTTAATGTGTGGTACCTGCCTGCCTTTTTCATACATTTCACACGATTATACTGCTAATTCCATTCTATTAGTCTGTTATTCAGCTAACGAGCTAATCATTTTGGTGGATATAGGGAAATGAGAAATAGCAGGCAGGCGATCTGGCCACGTGTCATCTCCCCTCTCCTGAGCCACGCAGACGGCGAAGCGATGAGAGGGAGGATCAGAGCACATTCTGCCACCTCCTTCATGTCCTGCCCAGGTGCTAATGCTAACAGGGCACTGCAGATGCTAATGCTGACGGGCTACCGCAGCATTCTCAGACAGGACGCAGAAGTTTCCAGAGGCCTTGGTTTGTCAGTCATTGCGGGGTCCCTAAGACCAGGATTGGTAAGAGCATGAAAGGGATTTCTCAATGTACATCTCGGCAGTTTAAAGCGTTCGGACCCAGTGGCCCGTTAGCATTAGCAATGATTCTCTCTCTAGCTAATGAGGCCTGGATATTAGACTAAGCCTGTTTATCCAGTATTATGACATCATGAATTGGGAAAGAGAAGCTGGTTCCCAGCGAAGGCAGGAGGCCATCGGCATCCAATCCAAACTAGTGTTCTGGGTGGTTTTTATTGGTTGCAAAGGGGATGCCTCATAGCTCCCGAAACTCAAGTAGAAATTCAAAAGACTGAAATTTAAGGCTTAAACTCATGCTTGCATTTAAGCTTGAAGCTTATCATATAATAAAACCTGCAGGAACAGCTGCACCATTCCGTTTTCCATCTGATCCTCCTCTCGGCGCCCAGAAAAAAGTCCACCCCCCCCCCAAACAGAAACAGTCCTCTCCCCCCATGAAGGACAGCGCTCCACATTCATCCCTCTAAAGCCGGGCTTGCTGAACAGCTCCAGGATGGAAAATACAGCCTCAGACTGACCAGGTCTCTGATGGAAACAGCACGACTCTATTGTAACCCCCCCCCACCGCGTTCCCATAAACGGAAAAAAAAATGCACCGCGCTTCCACGGAAATGGGGTCTGCGCAAAACCCTCGCTGAGAGCATTTTTCCAGATGCCGAAATCCCCGTCACGGCCCAAAAAACACCAGGCTGGAAGGTGCTGAGCTCCTTCGGGCCCCAGTAGCTGCCGCAGGTGTCGGAATAAATCATTCCAGATAACCTGTATGCGACCGCCTCGTGATTGATTGGGCGAATGACACGGTCAAAGGAGGCTCCGCCGGGATTTTCATCACGCCCAGACACTGTGAATGTCAAGATGAGGGGTGATTGCCAATGAACATGGGCAGATCAGTACAGCACTCCAGCGATCTAAGATTACAATCACATTCCAAACAAAAAAAAATAAAATAAAAAACATGGGAACATGACATAAAGTTGGTAGCAAGGTGGCACAGTGGGTAGTACTGTACCTTCACTCCTTCAGAGTTAGGGGTTCGAGTCTTCCTGGAGTCCAAAGACACATTAATTAGTCTCCCTAGCTTTTCCATAGCTTATGTGTGGGCCAGTTTGACTTCCCAGTGCGCTTGGGGTAGACTCCCAACCTCCCGTGACCCTGTCCCGGATCAGCAGGTAAAAGACGGATGGCGTATAATGTAAACCTCTGTTGAATAATTTATCCTGAGAATTCTGACGACCCTCCCGCAGAACAACAAAGACGAAACATCTCCAGGAACATTTAACGCTTGGGGGAACTTAAGGACAGAGGGGGGGGTAAACGTTCTATGAGCGAAAAAACACAGTAGAGAGAATGCGTCAGCCACTCGGCAACACTGGCAGATTAAAGAAGTGTAAGGACGTAGCTTAACACAGGCTAACGGCGATTAGCGTACTGCTCTCAGGTGCCTGAAAAACCAAGTCGACAGAGGAGAATGTCCTTTCATCTGAGGAGCAACAAGGGACCAAGTTCTGGGCACAGAAGACTGACTCATACTATAATCCCAGTCATTAGTAATTATTTATGAACCACTACCACTGGAACCTCGGCACATTGTTGTCCAACTTGTATATTCTATTGCTGGTATATTCTACATATTGTATGTATATTGTATATATGTTATTGTTAACTATTCTGTTACATGTTAAGTCCGTATGGTGGTAGGCAAGCAAGTGTTTCAGTGTACTTGAATAAATGATGATGAAGTTTTTGAATCCTTGAATCCTTGATTAAGGGGATGCAATGGGAGCAAGTTTGTCTTCAGAAGGACTGCAGACAGGAACATGCTTCACTAAGTGAACACCGGGTATAAAGTGGTGACAAGCAGCTCCCGGGTACAGCCAGCACATGCCAGTGCCGCACGGGATATATATATATATATATATATAGGGGGCAGGGCCACAGGGGCACAGGCCCCAGCTGAAAGCTGATTGGCCTCTAGAGTGTTCCCTCCCCCATCACTCATCGATTCGAAACATATCACTGGCTAATGATAAGGTTGGACTCTCTCTGTAAATTATGGCTCCTCTTAACCCTGCCCTGAAAATCCCAGAATCGCCCCTAATTGTGCAGTCTGGAGAGGCAGAATGCTGAAAGTACAATTAGCTGAACGCTACTCTCACATGACATGCGAGCCGATGCGCATTTATCATCGGGGCACTGAAGCATGATTCACCCGAGTCTTTCACATGGAAACCTTGACACAGTTTCTGGCGGGGCGGGGGCACTCGGTGTACTTTTGAATCACCTGCAGTGAAGACAGTGTGCAAAAACCAGTGCGAGTTCAGCTCCTGTAGCTGTACCCTTGAACAAGGTACTTAACCTGAATTGGCCAAGTAAAAATGGTTAACTCTATATATGGCTGTACCCCAAATAACATCACATGCTAAGCAGTTTGCTGTATAATAATATCTCTCAGGCGTGCGTTTTGGGACAGGCAAGCATCCTGTTCTGGATGTCGACAGCCTGGGATGGGCTCCAGGCTTATTTATGACCCCGTACCAGTCCCAGTTCCCTTTACACACACTCACACACTCATGGGCGACCCCTAGTGTCTGTGCCCCTTTCTCCCTTCTTATAGGCTATCAATCATAATGGATGGGAAATATCACCAGGTACTTATTCATCGGTTGTAGTTTTCCGGTGTGTAGCAAACTGGTTTTTAGTACATACAGGGTTTTAAAGACTTAATGATAGTAAGGAAATCCTTCCAAAAGGACGGCGAAAATCGATGTTAAAATAAACGTGTAACACGCTACGGCCTGGTTGCAGAGAGGAACGTAGCCCACATCTCTGCCTCCCGCACGGCGTGACGCAACAAACTAACACTCAACTCATCTAATAATAACTCCTCCAGCTGACACCTCTGTGGTCCCCTGACGGCTCGGGACAGCAGAGCCAGCTGGGGGCGCCACTGAGCTCCGGTTTAACCATGCCGGCACCAAGGCCAGTGAAACCTGGAGGCGAGAGCCTGAGATGTAGACAGAACGCAAGCGGACACCGGCATCTTCCAGTCCTAGCGCTCTTCTTATCGTTACTGATAAAAACCGGTCGTAAAACCCACGTTCACGTAAATGACAATCAGCTAACGGAGAAATAAGGTCGAACATGCCAGGCAGGAGAATGACTCCCCCAGACGACCTAGAGCAGTGCTGGCTGACTCCCAGTCATGCGTGAAGATGGAC